CTATAACGCTTGCTACTACGGGTAGCCTAATACTGCTAGTTCTGATTGGAATTCCCTGCCTTTACCCCACTGGTGCTGGTTTTTAATTTTTTGGGGAATTTTTATAGCAATTGTTTCTTGCTGGGTGGAAGCATATTGGTATTGTCCAAAAATATTACATTTTCTTGTGGATCCATGTCTTGCCACAAGCGTGCACTAATAATGCTCACAGAGCCCAACAGGGACTGGCTGTCTGTGTAGCAGCACTTCCCATAGATGGCTGCAAATGGATGGTACTGTTCTGCAGGTTATGTTGACCTCCGTTCACTTGAAGTTGCCTGCAAAGTAGAGACTGATCATCAAAGACCTTAAAGATGAAATATACTGTATTTTTAGTGAGCACATGCTGTAAATGTAGCTTATTCTTTTGAAGTAATCTTCTATATTTCATCCACACTACATTTTTTACATGCTTTTTTTTTTAATATTGTATTAATAATAGTTATATGTAGGTTAGTCACTACAGGGAGTTCTTGGTGGCACAGTGCAGTCAACAGCAGTTGTGGTATTGGTCATCTATGAAGTAGACATGTGAACACTGGAAATTCTTTTTGTTTCGTTTAATTACTGATGCATTAGTTCATTGAAGAATTTTGTTTCGTCATATAATAGTTATGTTGAACCATTTCATTTTCGGAATTCATTTTGTATCTTCAGCATTTGTTTTGTATATTCGTTGGTCCGGATGGATTTGAAAAAAATTGGCACTTTTTCTGGAAGATTGCTATATATTTAATATATTATTGAATTGGAAGGATTTCGATATTTTTGGACACTAGTCCAACCCACTAAGAGAAATGGCATGAGCTCATTGGACAATATCAACTGGCGTCATGTGCAATCAAATTAACGAATGGAAATCCATTCGTTATCCAAATCATCAAGCAAATTCAAAAATTGAATTAATTGCCCCATGGGCCCGAACTACTATCGCATCGCGAAGCCATCCGAATGAAATGAATGCATTTGTTATAACTTTTTTTTTTCGTTTGGATTTGTTGACATTCTTTACTGTGGTCATTCGGAGTTCCGTATATACATCTGAATCTCCAAAAATGAAATTTTTGTCCGTAAAACGAATCCTAATGAAACACAAATGTCTAGTAAGAAGTGCATTGTTATTACAGTGGAACTTCACTCTCTCAATTAACATTGACTATTTTGAATCCTTTGCTGCTAGCCTTAGTAAATAGATAGGAACGTATTTATTATTGACTTGTTTTAAACTTTTTTTTTTACATCTGTTTAGTTCCTAGTTTCTGTGCCTAGGTAAATTATGTCATACATCTCAGGAACCTTCAGGAGAGGAGGAGGGGTTTTCTCAGCTAAGCACACCCTCCTGCCTCTTTGCCTGAGCTAAAGGCAGTTGGATTCCAAGAAGTAATTGCTACATGAGTCATCTCCCCTCAAGATGTCCATGGCCAGAAATGCTAGGGGGTGTTTTTTTTAAAGTGATTTCTCAGCAAAATAAAGCATGGAGATATGGATAGATGGGAGATTTTTCTTTGAATTTTAAAAATGAATTAAATGTTTTTTCTTCTTGGTTTGTGGTACTCAGATACAGTCTAGTTTAATTTTAATAAGCTGATTTGACTTGTGCAATGAAGCCATAATATACAACCATTGAGTAGCAGAGCCTGCATATGTAATGAACAAGTATGGCTGTCCCCCCTGTATAGATATTACAATTTATACAAATAAATAAAGTTGTTGAAAACATTGCCAGATGATGAGATGTTCATCAATCTAATCACTTTTACATGTTAATTTGAAGAAAACTTTCCCTTTAAATTCAGTTCTTCTGAACAAAGTGGATAAACCAGTGCCTTTGTTGTTGGTATTTGATGCATTTGCTCTGTGCCTTCTGGCCTTTACAGTCTTACGGTTTCATCAGCTAGGTGTAGATGGTCATGTTTTCATGCAGTACATCAACACAGTGGGGGAGATTTACAAACACTGGCACACTCAGAATCTGGGCAGCTGTGCATGGTAGCCAGTCAGCTTCTAACCTCAGCTTGTTCAGCTTTGGCCATAAAATCTGGAAGCTGTTTGGTTTCTATACAGAAGTGCACCTGATTTTGCACTCTCCAGCTTTAGTAAATAAGCCCCACTGACCACAATGGAATTGCTTTATATTTTGGTTTTTGCAATATCTTACTCTAAGGCCAAAGATAATAAATATTAAAATAACATCAAATAAAAATAATTACCAAACTCTTCTGGCTGCTATCATTTTATTAGATTAGTGGGTGTGGCAGGGGCTGAACATTCTCCTCTGAGCATCAAAGGGCCAAATGTGTTCTCCACTTTAATCATTTTACTTCAAGTGGAACTAAACCCACCAATATAACTATTTCGTAAAAGAAATCTCATGTTAGAAATGCCTATCACAGCTTCCACTGTGCTTTCGTCAACTCTCAACTGATCATTCAAGCTTTCAAATGGCTGTTGACATAGCTGATCACATGTGCAGCCCCAAAGCAAATGCAGATCTAATTAAAGACCAAGATGGCACTGTCCTCAGCAAATGGGAGTGATTTTTTTGCATTGTATATTTTTGGTTGTTTTCAATGCTTTTATTTTGCTCATTACCTATGGTACTCAATTTGTAGTTGGAGCAGATCCCCTAATGAGCAACCTTGGTGCCTTGAAGTGTCATCAAAGTAAAAGCCATACGAACCTCATGTTGAAAGAATAGATTAGTATGTATTATGGATACTCAATTCATATATAATTTTTTGTTGTAAATTCTAGTGTGTGTTTTATATAACATGATAAAAGACCAATGGTGTAGAGATGACACATAGTAGCCAATTAGATGTCAATAGCACATGGGGTAGGCTAAACTACATGAAAATGTTGCCTGATTTGCTCATCACTGTACCATATGGTTAAGTCACGTTATTTCAGTAAATCGTTATGGTTTTTTTTAGCTAAGCTATTTCTTGAGGAGAGTCATAACATAATTGGGGTTGGGGGGGATTTATCAACATTGGAGCAGCTGTGCATGGCAACCATTTGGCTTCTTTCTTCAGCTTGTTCAGTTAAGCTTTGAAAATGAAAGATAGAAGCTGATTGAGAAGCTGATTGGCTGACACACAGCTGCTCCAAATGATAATTTCCCCTCCCTGTATAATTAATTTGATCACTTGACTGCAGACCAATATCAGCGAAAAGCAAGAGTTTTGCTGCCTGAAGCAGAACATGCTCTGGAATGCTATTGTCTAATAATGGTGATAATCTTTTAATCACATTATAAGTATGTTTTGAACATATCTGCGATAATTAGGAATTCATGCATTTAACTTTTTTTTTTTTTTTTTTTTTTTTTTAGCCCAGTGTATTTTGGAAGATTTTTTTTTGTCCCTTTTTTTCATACAATACATGTAGATGATTTATATATTAACAAGACCTTAGTCTACTCTGTCACAAAAGAGTAATTTGGTAATTTATAACATTTAAAAACTGGTCATGATCAGTCATATTTCAACAAGCCTGTTTAAATCAGATTGATTTTGATATTGGCATAGGAAACATTTTTGAAGTCCAAGGATTGAAAAATGTATACTGGTAAAATAGATTTGGTTTATTTACATATTATCTTTCAAACACTCTTTTGATGTTATAGAACATTTACACATAGAATTTGTGCTTTAAGCCTCTTTTTGTTGTATCAATTATTTCTTAAAATTCAACTCTACCTGCCTAACAAATTGACATAGAAAAATTATTAAAGGGCATTTGCACCCCAACATTCATTTTGGTGTATGGAAGTGCTGCTTTGCCTCATGTTGTGTTGAGAATTTAGTGGCAGGATTTTATTGTCTCTGGCTTGCTCAAAATAGGCAGAAATTGCTTTCACAGATGAAAATTTTATGTCATTCTAATGTATCTGGACTAACCAATTTGTTTTTTATTCTTGACTGTGTGAAATCCACCAAAAAAAAAGTGGTGCCCTCATTTGGCTTTATGATTTTGGCCATGGTGAATTTCTGTAACTCTTTAATAGTGATATCTCACCATTGTCATCCCCAAGAGTTATTATAGATCACCATCTTTGCAGCCACAAAATACTGAAATATTCCCTTTGAGTGGAGTTCATTATTTTCAGTATAGTTTATTATATTTCTATAAGTATTATTGCTTTGATTGTTGACTCTGGGAACTGCAGGTGTGTTATGTATGTGTGATTTTTTTTTTTTTTTTTTTTTTTTTTTTTTTTGACAACCTTCCCCAGAATAACAAGCGAAAGGTTGCAGCTGTAAATAGTTCAGTTGCCTTTACAGGAATATGGCTGCCTGTAGGCGTTAAAAGACATAATCCATTCATTCTCAGGGCATCAAATCTTCAATGTTGTGCAGCGCCATTTTAACTTACTAGGCTAGTTCTTCCAACCTAGCAAGTTTCATTCAATTTAAAGGCGGGTGAGGGGGTAAGATAAGAGGCACAGGAAGGCACTGCAATCTGGACAGGTCTTCCATTCTACCTGATTGATACCCCCCTAAGAATTTCGACCATATAATGGCCAGACCAGTTGACACATGGGGGGGGGGGTCTATTTTATATAAATGCTTCATGCAACTTTCTCCCACAATTCATACATATTCTAAATGAAATCAGTCAGAAAAATATCTTAATCCTGGGTAAATTTGTGAATGTTGTGTGAAAACATTTATAAGTAGATCTCATGCTGTTTATAAAGCCGCATGTTTGAATGGTCTGCTATACAAAATCAGATTAATCAGTCCTGTTAGAAATTTAATGACGCAAAAATTCTGTGCGAAGCCTGTGTGTTTAGTATACATCAGTAATGTACTTTTGTGTTGTAAGGTGTTTATAATATTTTTTATGTAATTAAATGTAATTCAGCAAATGACAGCATATCTCTTCCTCTAATTGTTGTCTGTGTTGTGTGGCCTTCCGCTCATCTCATGCTCTCCTATATTACTTTTATTTGTCAGATGAGTGAGGACTTCCGGCTCACTGCTTCCAGCTCTTCTTTTCCTGCAAATGCTTCCTCCTCTGTCTCTCGGACTGTTATCTCCAGTCAAGGTAATCATGTATGTTTTTCTTCTGGCTCCAGTTGCTGTCCCTTCTCAAAGCATTGATTTGCCAATCAGCAGGGGACATTTTCTTCTTGGATAGGTGTTGATTCGGAGTATGAAAATGTTTACCAGTATATGCAACACATTACTTACAAGTTGAAATTTACACTTCCAAATGATACTTCTAGATGCTATAGTTGCTGGCAGTAATTGCATGTAAAAAAAATCGGACAGACTGGTTGATCGATGGATCGACTTGGGTACAATCAGCCTGCCCATATGTGGATCAAATCTTGGCCGGTCCCTGCTAAAGTGGATGACTTTTGCTCTATGTATGGCCAGCTTTAATCTTCCTTCCCTGGCCATGGAACCCAGTGCTCTACTCTCCCCCTGCAACATGCTTACATATCCATAACTAAACTGCACAGCCAGGGATACCAAGTCAGAAGATGTTTCTGCTTGCCAGTGAGGTGTAGGCTGACTTATGTATTCATTGTCTGTGAATGATTATTTTATGAACAAGCCCCAATATCTGTCACTTTGGTAGTCACAACGGTGAACCAGTTCAGTGTATTCTCAAAAACAGTAGGGTCTAGTGTGTTTAAGATGGCAAGATCCAAAAGCAAACTGTGACGGAGGTGTTGGTGGGACAGAACACACGCAGAGAGCAGTGGGACACACAAGGATTTTGAGTGATTTTGAGGGCACACGATGAGTATAGCAAGGTTCTGGCAAAACAAAAGTAAAGTCCGTACCACAGGGTGGGGCGCATGACAAGGATCACCGAGTTCTGGTAGGCAACAAGGGGGTTAGTCTGTAGCAACATCTGGGCCCGCAACAGGGAGGCAGGCAAGGAATAAGTCCAGGTTGGCACACAGCAAGGAGGCAGAACTCTGGTGGGCAATGGATTAAGTCCAGGTTGGCACACAGCAGGGAGGCAGAACTCTGGTGGGCAAGGGATTAAGACCGGGTTAGCACACAGCAGGGAGGCAGATCCTGGCAGGCAATGGGTCAAGTCTTTGCTGGCACACTGCAGAAAGGCAGACTGGCAAGCAATGGTTTAAGTCCGGGTTGGCACACCGCAGAAAGGCAGACTCTGGCAGACAGTGGGTTAAGTCCCGGGGTTGGCACACCGCAGAAAGGCACACTGGCAGGCAATGGGTTAAGTCTGGGTTCTGGGATGGAGAGGGGGCTGTAGGGTCTGGCCACAGCATGAGACCTCTCACAGCACACTAGGTTGTGAGCAGGGGAAGACTGTGTGCCTGGGTCCTGCTCCGGTATTTATCTCCGCTGCAGGATGTTCCCCAGTTACCAGGCAACGGCCACCCTGGCACTGGGTTGCCGTGGCAACAAGCCCCACCCCCTAACTCCAGCCGTGCACAGGGAGCGCAGCGTTTGTCTCTGGCGGGTGCAGAGCGCGGGAACATTGGGGCCGCGCGGTGCCCACCGAGACAAGGGGAGGGGGCGTGCGGCGACATCCAGGTGACCTGCATGTGGGGAATCCCCATGCAGGCACAGTGGGGAGGCAGACTCCTCAGCCGAGGGGGAAGTGTGGGGTAAACAGCAGGAGGCAGCTCCCTGACACCCAGCACACCACTTATGTTGCTTACGTGCGGGTGCAGGGGCTTGTGATGGGGAAGGGGGGGGGGGGGAGAGAGGGAGTGGGGGGGGGGTCCGCGACACAAACATTTATTATGTTGCAGCTTACCAAATGTGGTGGCTGCATTTTGTTTTTTTTTTCATTTGTAAGGCTTTCTTTTATTTCATCTGAATCTGCTCATACATCTAACAGCCCCCCCCCCCCCGACTGACAGTGCTGCTGTCCAAATGTGTCCTCTATGCTCATTCATCCAAAGTGGGAGCACTCTAATACAGGAGGTGTGTTACTGGCTGATCACCAGGTAAAAGCAGAGGGGAAAAAGACTGAAAACAAAAAACTAATATAGCCACCTCATCTAATGGTTGGTAAGCTGCAGTATATTACATTTTTAGGTTTAATACCACTTTAATCACTGGTCATTAGGACACTTTTTTTTCTCATTTTAGCAGTTTGCATTACACTCCATGCTACAGTGCGTTTGACATACAAAACTAGTTATTATTTCTTCTGTTTCTAAAACACATATATTTAGCAAGAACATTTGTCGATCCTTGGCAAAAACCTGCAAGTCAACCATTATGTGTTTGGAATGTGGTAAGAATCCAGTGCAGGTGGAGGAATGATACGAAAAATTGTGCTAACTTCATACAGATATCGCCTGTGGTAAAGGTTGAACGTAACACTCCAGTTACAGAATGGCTGTCTCCATCAGGGATAATGCTGTTGCAGCCAGAGAAAAACAGTCAACAGAATATTCAAGCTGCTGACATAGCCAAATCAGGGACACTGGGGGAGATTTACTAAAATTGGTGTTCTCAGAATCTGGTGTAGCTTTGCATGGTATCCAATAAGCTTCTAATTTCAGCTTGTTCAATTAATCTAAAACCTGGAAGCTGATTGGTTTCTATGCAGAGCTGCATCAGATTTTGCACTGTCCCCAGTTTTAGTAAATAACCCCTCTGTATTGATGCAGCCAACTGCCCTAAGCATTACTGTAACATTTCCCTAGTATCAGATTCAATTATTTTCCAAGGAGTTAACGAAAATGCTCTTGCAGTGGGAAGTTTGGAAGGTGATTTAAAAGGTGGTATTTCACAGTTTAATAACCTGAAGAGCTATGTTATCACTACTTTAGCATTGAGAACTTAAAGTGGTATTGAACTCAAAAACAAAAATGTGGTTATATTCAAGCTTAACAGTCCTTTTTTTCCTTTATTTCATATGTTGATCCCACCAGTAATGCATTTTCTGTCTGCATTCTGGATGAAGTGATAAAGTAGACACCTTTGGGCAGCAGCATTGTCAGTCTGGGGAGAGGGTAGTGTTAGACTAGCAGATTTAGATGGACTTGACCAACGAATTGAAGTCAAACTCCAGCTAACACTTTATAAGCTGTTACAGCAAATATTTTTTTTTTTCCTTTTGGAATAAAGGTTTTACATAAATGAATAAAAGCTGCCCATTGTAAGCACCCATGTAAGTGTTTAAATGGTTTCTCTCAACACTCTAACTGCTACTTTGCCTGGATAGCTTGGTCGGTTAAAGTAAGTTGAAAAATAACTGACTTAGGCCTTATTCACATGGGTGTACTACAGCATACGTGCACCTATGGGCACTCCCATTAAATGCATTAAACATTTGAATGACCCGTTTTTGTCTTGTGTGGTTTTTTTTTTTTTTTTTTTTTCAATAATTTTTTTTTTTAATAATAATTTTTTTTTAATAATTAATCAATCATTGCATCTCCCCATCTAAGTCTTGTAAAACATTAATCCCCTGAATGAGACCTGCTGAGTCTCTTCTGAAGTAATAAACACCTGCCTGTTTGCAGTTTTCTATTGAATGTACACTGAGCTGCACTTTTCCAGTGCACTCCAGCTGTGCTGGGAATACTGAATTCTGTGCCATGTGCAGGATGACATCCTTACCTGCTGGCCAATCAAGAGGCTGAGGATACAGCAGCTGGCGAGGGATGGTACCTCCACATAGTTGGAAGGTGAGTATATTCGAGAGTTTAACTGTAATTTTAGTTATCCTTTTCACATAAAAAAAAAAATCTTATTTGCTGATTTTGTTGTAGCTGTTATTAAAGAACTCAGTAGTCCATCCATAACAGAGAAGCAAATATCCATTCAAAAAATGCAGGCTGCAGTATGGAGTTTAACATACCCAACAGAATAATCTCTCCCCAGTGCAGCGGAAAGAGCTCTGTGAATGGAGGAGAGCTGTGTGACTTTGAAAGGCCATGTGACTAGCTCTCTTCCCCAGATTTTTTTTTCCTCCTCCTTTTACTCGGTTGAGTGCAATGCACATGTATTTTTTTTTTTAAATGAACCCCTTAGTCTTAACTAATGTATTAGATAAAGCCAGCTTCTGAAAATGTGTAATTAAAATGTATGTCAGGGCAAAAAGAATAAAGTGCACTACATATTTGCAATACAATCATATTTGCCCCCATTTTATCCCTTTCTCTATGCAGGTATAGAAAGGTACCTGTTGATCTGCCAAAAGTACACACAGTTCCTGAATTTGTGCTGTATTCTAACAACGCATGCCTTTTCTGGACTTAAATCACAACAAATGGTGTCATCCCTTCCCAGTAGTTTTTTGCTAAACTATTGAATCCCTTCCTCTCTGCTCATCTCCGCAACTTTGAGTAATTGTTCTGCAGTCCATAAGAACTGGGAGGCCTGATTAGTCTCCCTGAAATAACACAAGAGATTTGCCTGGGGCAGCTCTCAATTTTGAGACAAGGCTGCCAATTTTTTTTCCCAGTTATTGAAAAAAAAAAAAAAAAAAAAAAAAATAAATATATATATATATATATATATATATATATATATGCTTTTAATGGCATATTTACCAGAGCAAGAGAGTGTAAATAAGAGTTAATTGTTGGGTTTATTGGGCTTATTTACCCATTACCTTGTCCTAACTACTTTCAACAGAAGAGTTATTCTGAATGTTGTCATTGTGTTTAGACCAGGTCTGGTATATGGTAGAGGCCAGGCTGACTAGAGGGCTCCCCTTACACCTCCTGTCCAATACAGACTAGAGTTGGTGACAGGTTGTAACAGGACAAGGAGTGGTATGGGTGCACTGAAGGTGATCAGATGACAGTGTGGATGCTCAGCCTGGAGCTTGTGCAGAATGATGACACATCGGTGAAGCATGGGAACTTGCAAGTGCAAAAAGTAAAGCCGTAGTTAAGAAGATAAGGCGCCTCTAAGTGCAGTATGGTTCAGCAATTTATTAATAAAATGGTTAAAGCCACTCACAAGATAGTAGAATGCACAGGACTCATCAATAATCTTTCTTGTCATGGCTCCTGTCACTGTCTGTCCTCTCGCTCCCCATCCAGCAACTGCAAACATAGTTAGGATAAGCTAGTATCAGTGAGAACAGAG